TGCCACCTCTACCATTGCCGTCGTCTCCGCTTCCACCATTTTCAGCCACCACCACAACTACCATTTCCATCAACAAATAAGATCCAAACCAGATCCTGCCTCGAACACCAGATCTGCCACGACCACCATCACCTCTATCACTGCGACTACACCTCACTGCAACCACCAGATTCGCCACCCAACATAGCCAACACACTTCCACCACCACAGCACTCCGCACTTCTACCACCGAACCGTCAATCTCCACCACTAAAAAAAAAGAGAGAGAGAAGGATGGAGATGAGAGGCGTCACGCCGGCAGAGATGGGAGGCGTCGCGCGGCAGCGTAGCAACACTACCATTCACAACAGCGTCGGGGGAGAGGGATGGGCAACGTCGGGGGATGGGGATGGGGAGAAGGGAGGAGATGAGAGGGGGAGAGGATCACAGAGAGAGAGACGAGGGGGATGGGGAGAAGAAAGGAAACGAGAGGGGGATGGGGAGAAGGAATGGGGGAGAATTAGGGTTAATAAATTACGTAAGTTTTAAATAAATAAACATTGGACCTGAGTTTTAAAAAACTATATTTAAACCCCTGATTTTTTATAATTACCCTTCAATAAATCGTTTCTTTATTTTTGTAAAATGTCGTGTGAAGACGGTAGCAATTAGTGGTGATCAAGAGATTAGGGTCACCGGATTTGATCTGGCCAAGCTCTGGGAAAATCAGGAGCAAGAAACCCATAAAAAAGTGAAAAATATAGAAAAAACGAAAGAAGAGAATTAGAAAATCCAAAGATAAAGGAGGTAATGTGTATATTCTTACTATGTGTTCTTATCACGTGTCTATGTGCATATTTGACACTTAGCTTATGTTGGTTTAGTTAAAAATAGATTTTTATTGAATTTTGATATGGAATATGTTGTTGAAAAGTTGTGAAACAAAAAAAAAGTGTGACTAACACTAATTGTTGACTTTAATTCAGTTTTCATTTACAGTTGTAGCTTAATCAAACACGGGCTAATTAACTAGAATTTTTATTAGACAATGTTTGTATGTTCAATCAGTGACCCATCTATTGAACCAACGACTTGTTGACTAGGTACTTTTTCTGGGTGAAAGATAGAATCGAGTTTGATAGTTATGTTTCGACCTATAAATATTCATGTGATTTTTCAGTATAAGTGTAAAATATGCAAACCCTAATTTAACGAAAATTAAAGAAAGTGGAAAAGGAAAAAGGTTAAGGTTAATGGCCTACTTGTACAAAGTGAAGCTTGGGATCCTATGTTTCATTTTCGCTCATTAGATCATTAGTGAAAATGGTTAGTAAAGACAATTTCTTGAATTAAAGTATTAAATTTGTAAAACACCATATGTCCCTTAAATCTATTGCATAAGTAGTAAGTTGGTCTCCTCACTTTTTAGCAAGTTTCCTCGACTTTTCATTGTAGTTTTACATTCGCTCCTCCACAATGAAAATTGTTCAAATTTCATTAAATCATCACTAACCTTCACATTAAACTTCATGAATCTTGTTTTTGCTTTTAATAACTTGGCACTCTTGGCTTGGTATTAAAAAAATCGAAGGGGGACTATTTTTAACGAGTTACACTATAATTTAACTGAAATTTAAACGATTTTGTTACTAATTTTGTAACAAAATAAATAACTTGACCAACTTTTTTTATTCCAAAATTTGACATGAAATTGCTATTGAGACAATAGGTCAAAGATCAAGGATACAATTTTCCTTGAAAATTGTTGGAGAGATTTAAAAGAAAAAATTAGGATCGGATTTCCCAAAATTTTCAATTAGTGTGATTTTGAGTCTTTGACTCACCATCTTGTAACTTGCTTTATTTCAGTGTGGGCATTAAAACTACACATGAAAATCATGTTAAGTCCCTGTTTGGTTTAACTAAAATGCTAACAAAATCAATGTAAGAGTTAATAATTAATTTTAATCACATATTTTATGAAATTCACAATTTTTATCAACTTTTTAAATATACATTTCATTTTTTTAATCAAAATATACTAAAATTATTTTATTTAACTAAACCAAACAATCTCAGAATTATTTTAAACGTCAAGAGCGAAAGTTATACTCCCCTATTTGAGCCACATTATTTTTTCAGTCCAATTTTTCTACTCATTTTCAACCACACATTATTCAATAAAATAATATTTTTTATTATATCAATAATTTTTCCTTCTTTTTCAATCACATAAAAAAAATATTCTTTGGGAAAAAATGTGCACCAAACGGGGGCTAATTGAATAGTTAAAGATACCCCTAATTTTTTAAAATTTTTTTCCACTTTAAATTTACAAAATAGTGCAAAAGGCAAATCCACTCTTTAAGTTCATGACAACTCATCATGTGGGGGTCCACACACACAACAACACTGCTCCATCTTCTCCAACTTCTGCATAAATACCTCTTCAATGCGTAACTCACTCTGTTTCGGAACCCAAAAACAACAATATATACTCAAAAATGGGTGCGGTAAGAAGATTCAGATTCATCATTGGCTTCTCTTGGTGTTTGTTCTTATTTTTCCCCTTTAATTTTTGAGACTTTTGTTTTTGGTGATGATTTTTTGTTCCTTTTTGTTTATGGGTTTTGCAGAAGAACAAGAAAAACAATGAAGCAGATCAGAAGAATGAAAATGATAATAACAAGAAGAAAGACAATGGAGGAAATGATAATATTACTGCAGTTTTGAAGGCTGGTTTGCACTGTGATGGTTGCGCTTCCAAATTTCTAAAATGCATTCGCTCTTTTGACGGTACAGATATAACATTTTCTTCTCAAATTTCACTTTTGTTATCAGTTTTTAATTTTACAGAATAATTTCTGTGGTTTCATTCTCGAATATATTTCTGGGTTTTCATCCTTGTTTTCTCTATTTTATCGTGGTATTCTTTTAGATTCTGGGTGGTTTTATTTGTATCTCAAATTATATGAAATATTTTCTACTTTTATTTACTGGGTTCACAATTTTTTTCTTCTCAAAGTCGTTATCTTTTTATTTGACTTTGCACTTTCCGATGGTTTCTTTATTTTTGCACTTGAATAATGTTTATGGGTTTTTTGTATGTGAAAAAGGTGTGAAGGCTTTGACAATCGATGAATCTCAGAAGATTACGGTTACCGGAAAATTTGATCCGGTGAAACTCCGGGAGAAAGTGGAGGATAAAACCCACAAAAAGGTGGAACTGATATCACCAGGGCAGCCAAAAAAGAAAGATAACGATAAAGAGAATGCAAAGGGCAAAGAAAATGGAAAAGAAGACAAAAATACAAAGATTAAAAGTGAAGACAAAAAATGCAAGAACAAAGAGGTAATGTTAATTTCTATATTTCTATACATTAATTATTCCGAAAAGAAAGGGAAAGTCATGTGACATCTAGCGCACTTTAGCAGTTTGCATTTTGTTTGCTGCAGTTAGTTTCGACGATTCACGTCATGAATTCAGTTTTGAAATTTTCTATCATTCAATTACGTAACTCCCCCACTTTGTAATTAATATCGAATTATTTGTTTACAGCAAGCTGTGATGACTGCGGTTTTGAAAGTGCAGTTACATTGCCAGGGATGCATACAGAAAATCCACAAAATTGTGACCAAAACAAAGGGTGAGTAGCTATCTTTTAATTTTTATCAATATTTTACTGAAATTGAAGTGTGTAACGGAGACATTGACGGCGTTACAGGGTATGAAGGTCTGAAAATAGACAGGCAGAAGGATTTGGTGACAGTGACTGGAGCAATGGACATGAAGGCACTAGCTGAGTCTCTCAAGAAACATTTGAAGAAAGAGGTTGAAATTCTTCCTCCCAAAAAGGAAGGCGGTGGTGGCGGTGATAAGGGGAAAGGTGGTGGCGATGATAAGGCGAAAGGTGGCAGCAAAGAAGGTGGTGGAGGTGATAAGGGGAAGGATGGTGGCAGCAGCAAGGAAGAAGGTGGTGGAGAGAAGAAGGAGGAGTTGGTCCAAATTTGGAATCCATATCCGTGTATGTACGGGCCGGGTCAAATGGGTGAGCAGTTTCAATACCACCCATATGGATATGGACCTAACCACGCGCCGCAAATATTTAGTGATGAGAACCCAAACGCTTGTAGTTTTATGTGAAGGACAGGAGAGGAGGGGAAATTTGTAGAAATAATAGAATGGTAAGTAATTAGGTTTCTTTAATGGGTTGTTAAGGTTTTGATAAAATTAATTAATGTTTAGTTTTCTCCGTCGACACCTTTTTCTCAATTGAACGAGTGGTCAACGCTTCTTGGTAGAGTTAGATCTATCTAATAAGGAATTCTTCTTGGTGTAGCAAGTCGCCTGATTTTGCTATGGCATTAGACTGGAAAGTCTCCCCCGTCCTCTTCAGATTTGGATAAAGGGAACATTCTCGAACACCATCTTGTCTGTCAAAAGCTTATTCAATAGTGAATTCAAACCTTGGTCAATCGGTGTGTCCTTTCTGCTCTTACCTTTATCATTAGTTCATTTATCCCCATCGAATCAATATCTTTCTTTTCCCTTGCTCGACCACTCTCATTGGAGAGAAAACTTTGCCTTTAGTGAAACTTGAACATTCTAGCCTTTGAAAGCTGTCCAATTGGTCTAGTTTAGAAAGTCTAGATTCTCTTCTCCCTGTACGGATCCATGTTTTGCATTTTAGTAATTCAGTTCTAAATTCTAAATCATTAAGCTGCACT